TTTTAACGTCAAACATTAACATATGTGAACTATAATATTTACTGAACACAGTATTATCAGATAGCCCTCTATGAAAATCCGACAGTAGCATAATATCAGAAGTTTGTAGTCCATGAAATTTCTTCAGTAAACTGAAGATTCTCCCCAACATGTTGATTCTTTCATATAGTGCTCAGTAAAGAAATGTTCTTAACAAATGTTCAAGGATTTTGGACAGGACAGGATTAAATACCTTTAAAGCAGGTGTAACTCACCTTTTTTGATCCCAAAATCACTTACAGAAAGGATAAATTTCATTATTGTAAGAGAATGGAACTATGTCTTCCATGGCAGCAAAAAATCTTTTTTCACAGATTGAACATACACAAGCAAATGAAGAACATAATTTCAAAAGTGTTTAAAATCATATTTTCTACAAGTTTTTAACTCGAGCATTTAGAACTCAAAAGGAGAAGTAAACAAACAAAAAAAAGCATGTATTTTGATGACATTTTACAGACATACATCTAGATGTTTTATAAACATTTAGAAGTGCTTTATAAAACATCTGTAAGTATGTTTTATATGTACACATGCACAGACAAAGCATCTTCCACATCTTCTTTTACTGTTTTGTTTTTCTTTTTCTTTTGGGGAGAGGTAAAAGCTTTTTAATTTCCCTGTCATATTTTGCACTGAAGAATTATTTCAGCACAGAAAACAGTCTTCTCAAAGGCCAGTGCAGCAGGATTTCCGTCTTCAATCTGGAATAGAAGTCAATTCTAAAACTGTTTCTGAGCAGATGATCAGTCCAAGCAGAAGGCAGAATGCTATAAATTATTCTAGGACGAGACCAGAGCTGACATTTAAGGACTTGCAATCTTTATTAGGCATGGAGGTGGTTGTTTTTAAATGTGGTGCAAAGAATCTGGGTCACCTGTGGGCAGAAGAGTGCAGAAAGGAACAAGAGTCCAGGCAGCAGTCGTGGGAAGGCACTGGGAGGGGGAAGCAGAACAGTTTTGGTGTGGTGGTAGAGTTTGAATCCAGCAGCAGCTATTCTTGTTATGCTGGCAGTTTACAAAACTGGCCTTCTGTCTTTACTTGTATTCTGTCTTTAGGATGTAAAATCAAGTAGCTGCATCACAAGCATTTCTTAAATTATAGGTAAGCAGCACAATCCTGCTTTGCTATGTGCCTTTTCTCTCTTCTTTCCTTTTCTTCCTCAAAACACAAACACAACAAAACAAAGCAGACACAGATGTACTTGGATATTCACTCATTACTCATACTGCCTCGTGTTTTCTCACCTCAGCTGGCAACATAATAGTTATCTAGAAAGAACCTCTTCACAGTAAGGGTGACAGAGCACTGGAACAGGCTGCCCAGGGAGGTTGTGGAGTCTCCTTCTCTGGAGATATTTAAAGCCTGCCTGGACACCTACCTGGGCAGCCTGCTCTAAGGAACTTGCTTTGGCAGGGGGTTGGACCTGATGATCTTTCGAGGTCCCTTCCAACACCTTCAATTCTGTGATTCTGTGATAGCAGCCTGTACTATCTCTCTCTGTCCACTTCCTATGTATGCACCCATACATGAAGGAATGACATAGCCGCTGATTGTATGCTTTTCCATTGTATACCACTATAAATAAAAAGTTGTGCTGTATAAATTGCTAAGTGCTATTCCCATGAGGACACATTTTTAAGTTATCATGATCTTGAACCTTTCCACACCAGCATGATAGTGAAAAATAGTGTTTCTCATGGGAAAGCCACAACTTTTTTTTTTTTTTTTTTTTAATGTCCATTTTTATAGGACATACTACATGATATTAGGTTACTCAAGGGGTTAATAAACCTCAGAATCACTTCTCTCGTCTACAGTGAAGTGGCATAATGACTTCACTGTTGAGTTTTTTTCCTGAAAGGGGGTACATTAGAAAGCACACAGGGGAGATATGAATGCATACCCGTTGCCCCTAACCAGCACTTTCAATGCCTTTATAGCGTACCTGAGAGCATATTAGGAAAATAAATAAGAATCTTCAATTTACTGGCTTAAAACGATCTTTTTCCCTTTTCTCCATTGACTTTAAGAATGAATATTGAGAACTTTGGATTTTATTTTATATGCAAGGCTTAAAAACTAATTTACCATACTCCTATCAGCAAACAAATAAAGTCTATAGCTCAGTCATAGATAACAGTTTCCAAGGGGGATACCTATGCCCAAAGCTTTCCAAAGGTATAACATGGAGGATACAATAGTGGAGGTGATATACATCAGGCTCGTTGTCCCCAGACCATTTCCTTTCAGCCTCAGGGCAGCTATGTATCTGATGAATCTGAAATTCTGTCATGCCCCTGCAAGTGTCATATACACTAACATATATGGATAGCTGCAGCTCGCTTTCTGTGCCAGTGCTGCAGTTATCTCAGTTTGGGGACTCTGAAAGAATCACAGAGGAAACAGACAACTATATTTAAGCCTTAGGGATTGCCATCTTTGTCAGAGGTAGCCTCACTTTCCCATCAGAGATAAAAGGGACATGACAACCTGTTCTGAGACAAGCAAAACTGCGAGGACCAGAAGGTGAAAGCAAAGCTGGAATATAAAAAAAAAAAAAAAAAAAAAAAAAACAGAGATGTGTTATAAAAGCACAAAAGTGTTGAGAGCCCTGATAAATCCCTAAAGCTGGCAACCCTGTTTCAATGGAGCCATGCCAGCTTACTCCAGCTGAGCATCAGGCCTGTGTTCTTTCCAAACAGAAAGAGTTTATTAAATCAAACCATTTTTTTTTTTTTTGCTGTGCTGTTACATCTAAGAACTTTTCTCAGTGGGCAACACCCTGCTAATGCTGAGTACACAGTTTTAGAGACACACTGCCTAGGTACTTTTTGCCTGAGAGTTGAATCTTCTCTTTCTGTTTACTTGTCAGTCCAAGCACCTGCTGCTGTGGCAGCAAACACATGATGCTGCATATTTCTGTGCTTCTTGATGTGTAATTTTTTTAACCATCACTCCATTGTGAGCATCTGCCTTGCCTGTTTTTGTAACAGTAAACAATCAAGGAGTTTGGCCATTTTTAATAGTACAATTCCCGTTTCTGTCTTTTGAGTAGCAGCACACCAGCAAATGAAAGCTAAAAAGTGTAAGGCCAGTCAAGTTGGCCATCCTCCTTCTGAAATCAGTATTCCAGCCCATACACAATCTGTCATGCTTTGATCCTTCACAAAAAGTATGACAGCATGACAAGGTATTCCACTGCATCTCAACTTTAATTGCTTGGAATTTTGTTTAATCAGGAAATCTTCAGTACCTGCCAGGCCAAAGTCAGGGCAGGATGCTGTATCAGGTGACAAGGGTCATCTGTTTCTCTCTGACTGCTTGATATTAACACAGGAGAGTTTCATATTGCTAGATGTACTGCATTGGCAAAGAGATAACAAAGTGTGCTATAGACTCCAGAATTCCCTTTGGGTTTCAGGCTTGCCAAAAGCAGTTCACCTTATTTTTAAATATTTTATAGCTGCATAAAAAGTGCCAGATGCTGTTTAGAAACTGGACTTAGAGCTAACCACTCAATCAGAAGAAAAAAAAAATAAATAAAAGAAGAAATTGAAATGGCTTTTATTTAGCAGCTGCCAATATAAAGGAAAAACTCCAAACAAAACAGCTATGCACATGATATAATTTGGCTGTAGTGCCACCGTTGAAGTGACACACTCAGAACATTTTCCATTCAATTTGTGATGGCAGGTATTGTATTTTACATACAAGAGACCTATTTTCTAGTCAAGACAGCTTTTTCCTTGTGTCAGTGGAATAGATGTTTGACCACCTGTTCTCAAAATTGAAATGTTTCATTAAAGAAACATGCTCATTAACTATCATGCACAAGATACTCCAAACTAGATGCAAACTTTGAAGAGGAAGTGAGTGTAAAGAAAGGCAGTGAAATAATTAATGACAAAGCAAAAGCAGTAAATGTAATACTTCTGAACTGCACTAAACATTTGATATAGTGCCTTGCAAAAAAAAAAAAAAAAATCTGAAAAAATAGCTCTAATAAGAGCACTGTCACATGATGAGAGCTAGCTAAATTTTACTAAAATGTGTATTTATAAATGAAAATCTATTGATTAATCTGGAGAACAAATATTGTCTGGGTAGTATAGGCTATGGTGTTTACTTCCATACACTGATAAGGTATACTAATAATTTCACCTTCTCTTGAGAAAGATACTACCTTGCAACATCAGCATTACAGGAGAAACATGCCAAGACACAACATGTTTAAACATGTGGTTGAAAGACAGGTAAAATTTGATTCCAAAAAATGTGTGAGAGTATTTGATAAACAATGATCTTAAATGCAGCAGTTTTTTGGATGATAGCATACAGAGAATAATTTAACATAAATCTAGAGTTGGTATAACTACACAACAGCAAAGTGCCAGTCGGATGTAGCATGAAAGGGCATATGGTTTTTTGATCCACATTTATTTTTGAGCTCCTCAGTTCCAAACTAAAAGAATTCTGAGTCAGTAATTTCTGTATGAGGTTTAATGTGCCAAAACCTAAAAATATGGGAGAAAAAAAAAAAAAGGAAAAAAAGAAAAGAAAAAAAAAAAGGATATCCATCTATAGGAGCTTAAGGCATCATAAATTTAATAGAAATTAATTTTTAGTTTAAACTATTCTAAAAATATAGAAAAAGAAATACTTAGGTAATTCCTGCTTTTTCATATCTCACAATAAGATGCACTACTTTGTCAAAAAAGGGTGATCAAAGCTTTTCACTAACAAATTCATATTGTGGGTGAGCACACATGTATACTTAAATCACAGAAACCAGCTATCCTGGAACTCTATCCAATAGATAAGGAACATTGCAGTATTGTTTTTGTTCCTAAAGGTCAACTAGGGAGAAGCAGGGAGAAACTCCGTTTTTTTAAGAATCCACGAAAAATAAAAAGAACAAACTGCAATAGCTTCTGTAGTTTATTTGAAACTCCCGAAGATCATATAACTGTTGAATAACAGTCTAAAATACTTTTATGATACCAGCTATCTGAAATGGAGAAGGATCTTCAAAAATATCAGACTATTTAGATGTACAGAAATTTGATATGAATGAGCTGTAAAGCCTGGCTCAAGCAGTGACTGACACCCCGCATTTTGAAGATGGGTTGTGGATATGTTCTTAATTTTACTGTCTGTCTTTCTGTGAAACAAGAATCATCTGAAATATGAATACATATATAAAAATGCAATCAATCTTAACTATTAAAAGTATGTAAAGTTATTTATAAAAATTATTTATAGTTAAAACTATTGTGATCAATTTAACTGGCAGAGTGGCCCAGCTTAACAAATGCTAAAACTGGTCAAATGGAAGTGTATATATATAAAATATATTTACTACAAAAAGTCCTGTGGCAAGGGCACAACAGAAATCCAAACCTGTGTTTAAAAAATTCAAGTACATAGGGCTTTTTACAGCCAGTATGTATATGCTTTAGGTTGTAATCACTGCCTAAATGTTCACACAACTGAGGAATATCTCCATATCAAATGTAACATCAAAATGAGGCAAAATCAAGACTGTACCATCCGAACGTCCAGATATAAAGCTATTTGCCTGTTTGTTAATATTGACAACATGGCTGGAAATCATTCCTACTTTCTGATTTTTACATTCAGCCAGGAAGAATGAACTTGCTTAATTCCAAGCTTATCATGACTCACCTTCCCAAAAGGATTTTTAAGGACATCTATCTGCAGATAAGGGATATACATGCAGCTGCAGACCAGCCCTTATTCCCTAGCCTTCCAATGTATATTCTGATGAATAGTTAACTTCCAATGAAGATCACAGACCTGTCAAGTTCACAAGGATAGTTGAAGACTCTGTGATTGTCTCCAGAAACTATACATTCAGAAAGGTCATGAGTGATAAATGAAAGCTTTCAGGAATTATCTTTCACAGAAGTATTAAATTCCATGAATTTTTCATCTTTTATTATCATTTAGGTGACTGTCTATGGGCATGAAGAGCCAAAACCTGAGCTAAACCACTTTATCTTTGAACATCTTAGTCAAAATTAGGTGTACTGTCAGCCATACCATTGTCAACACAAATGCAAAGGCAAAATGCAAATCTCAAAGGGATTTAAAAATTACTAACAAAATGAAATTGTGATTATTATTTTTTTAACTATCCATTCATTTCCACTTGTCACCTGGATTCGCTTGTTGCTTCACATGTACATGCATGTCAGAACCTGCAGTGGTATGTTCACATGAATATCTGAGGCCTGAGAACAAATTTTGTTTATTTCAATTTGGAACTTAACAAAGAATCTTTCTGTAATCTTTACTCTCAAGAAGATAACCCAGCAGAGATCTAATGTCAGTATGCTAGGGTAACTTTGCAGTGATATTATTTAAGAAAAGAGATCAAAAGCTAACAACCTTCCTAGCTTGGTAAGAGCTTCCAAATGATTGCCTTCTAGACAATTTATCCAGAGAACTGCTGATACATTGTCCTGATGGAGAAGAAACCAGCAGTTGATCTTTGCAGGAAGAAAAGCCTTTTAAGCTTCTACTAGCAATCTTGTACAGAAGAAATGATTAAGGAAAAGCCACCTCCAGGCATGAAAAAAATCCTTACAATGAAACAGATGGGATAAAATTAGAATCTGTTATCAAGTCTGAAAAGCTCAGACTAATGCTGTAATTGCAGCACAGAGGAGTACCATAGAAAGAATTAATAAAGCTGCTTTGAATTAAAAATGGACAAGGAGTATACCATTTGGAAATGAAAGGGTTTAAGATAATCAGTTCTTCCACAGAGGTAACAGGCTTTAGCATTTCAACTGATCTAATAAGCAACTCATCTAACATATATTCATATTAAACTAATAAAATTAAAAGCAAGTCCCAGGAAGATTGAAACAGTGGCTTCATCACTGCTTCAACATTTGCCTTGCAGCAGTTTTGGGACTATATCATACTTTTCAAACGACATGTCTCTTAGGCAAAACCAGCACTATAACATGATCATTGCCAGAGTTTAAAGTGATAAATAAAAAATTATACATACATTACACAGACAGAGCGGGGTGCGGTAGTCAAGTTTTCATAGATATTAGCAAAAAGAAGCAAGAACACAGTGACTATAAGGGCCTCCTGCATACCTTTGGGCAGGAGGTGGATTCAAGACCCTTCTGTCATGAGCTTGATACATGGACTTTTGAGTTTATGATGCTCAGTGGTTTAATTCTGAAGGGCTTAGTGCAACCATTCTCAAGACCCAGAATTTCAATGCACCGTGAATGTGCTCCACTGAAAATACAACTCTAAGAAGAGAGATCTCCTTTGGATGTTTCACTAAGGTCAGACATTATCAAATAATGCAGTGAGTAAGCCATCTTAAATAGATTTAAAATTGCTCTGAGATCTTGTGAACTTGAGCTATCTTTCAACAAATTTAATCCATGTTCAACTTGTAATACAATCTGCAACGTAGTCAATTTTCAGATAGCCACACAGGTTTTGTTTGTTAGCTTGGTTTACTTGGTTTATTGGTTTTTTCTTTTTTTCTTTTTTTTTTTTTTTTCCTTCTGGATTGCCCTGTAGGGTTTGGTTTTCTTTTTTCTTTATTGTATAGTTTATTCAGACTTGAAAATGGTAATTTGACAGAAAGATACTTTGGCTGACATTACTCCAAGTTGTACTCTGCTTCCATCAATAGTATTTAATAGGGCATGACCAGGCCCTATGGTTCTAGTCCATCAAAAAAGAAATTATTTACATTATTTAAAAAGAAAAGGTCAGTTGTTTTGCAGCAGATTTTGAGGCTGAGAAGAAAAAAATATTCTTGCAAAGATCAATAAGCTATGAAATGTCTATAGAGACAGGTATTTTTCTCTTCAACATGACATGAGTATAGTCATTATCGTCTATATCCCACTATTTATTTTTTCATGTATCAATGCAGCTTGTGACTTACATATTTTCAAAGTTAGTAGAAGAGAAAAAAATTCTGTGGTCTGAAAGACACAGGTCTTGGCTGAAGCCACAGATCTAAAAACAAAAACAGAAATAAAATCAAGAATGCTACTTACAGGATGGAGGTGACCTGAGTCTCATGCCTAAAGATACCTGCTTAATCTTTTAGAACATCCCTTGGAAAAGATCAATTTTCAATCGACAGGAACATTCACTGTTACAAACTTCCCTGCTGGGATACAAAACAGAGGTCATTTATTAAAAAGAATGTAATGAATGGCAGGGCTGATCCTTTTAGTTATTACGGACACATACCAAAAAAAATCTATTTAATCAAAGACTGCAAATTAACAGTATGTTAAAACAGGCTGGTTTTGTGTATCTGTGGTTACTGACAAGTCACCAGATGTTCAAGATCAATAGATGTTTTGAATATTTTAATTATTCTTCTGGGTGTAGATCTTAATTACTCTTATGAACTTCAGGTAGTTTTGGCAGACATAGTTTACCTTGAAGCTGTGAGGTTTACTGTTGTTTCATCAGCTAAAACAAGGTGCCAGCATGCTGATGTATAGTCATGTTTTCATTTCCAGTGGCTCCTTTGAATACTAGAAGCTGATTCCATAGAGTCCAGCGTGCCTCCCCCACCACAAAGACATGTTCAATTGGCTTGCAAATAGGGGAAAGCAGAGAAGGTTTCTCTTTTTTTTTTTTAATTCTACATTAATTTACAGGAACAATACTTCCAGTCTTGTGGACACTGACAGGGCCTACACAGAAAAGTTAGAGAAAACATTAAATGTCAAAGAAAATAAACAAACAAGCAAGCAAGCAAACAAACATACAGAAACAACTCACATCACCTGTACTTGAATTCAGGGAAGGATTAGATTGTAAGGACTACAGAAGAAAGAACAGTGTCTGCTTTCCAGCTAAAGTGCTTAATTAATGGGTGCCAGGTTAATCTTTCAGGTTGCAGGCAGACAGTTACACAGGTGTGAGACACTGCTGGGGCATCTGCTAGCAGGTTTGTCCTCACAGCCACCTGCCTGGGTGCTGAAACTGCCTGCTCACACAGCTTCAAAAAGAAGCTGGCAGATATGAAGTAAGTCTCACTGCAAGGCCTCAACTGGGAGCTTGAGACCAGCCCACAGCCACCGTCTCCCCCAGCCCTCGGTTCCCCATGCTTGACCTTGTTCTGCCTTCTTCTACTCTGATTCTTTTCCCCAAACTACAAGTTTTGCCCTGCTCCAGTCCTGCCTTCTCTAAATATTTTGCAGTCAAAGGAGTAGAATATCTATTACCTTGATACTGAGTGAACAAAGAAAATCTTTCTACTATTTTGTGCTTTTGATGTCTGATACTAGACTAAGTCACATGGTGGCATGAAATACAGGTTACCAGCAGCTAAAAAGAAACCAAAACGTACTCATTAGAAAACAAAACTTACTCATATGTGAAAATTCTTTTCATAATTATATTACACTATAAATATTGGAAATAAAGATTTAGAATAGGGAGAAAATTTGCTAGAGGAAATAAATCAGATCAAAATTGGCAAGAAGGAAAAGCATGCAAAAAGTCATAGCAAGTGAGGGTTTAAAGTATTTTTATACATCTGTGCACTTCCTAGTAAATCCTTTAAGATGATTGATGGGTATGGACATTATATTGACATCTAAAATACTGAAAATTTGTAATAAATTAATCAATCCAGAATGTGAACAGGACTCATGGGTTATCATCATAACTGTTTTTTCCCTGTTCTCTAGAAATTTATCTACCTTAAGTCCTAATTACGCATTTTTGCATACTATGAATGTTCATTTTACATTCCATATTGTTAGTTGTGCCTAATTGCTGCTGCAGCCAGCAGTCTTCCTCAGCTGAAATATGGCATCAGGTTTTGACTAGGTGGATTACCATTTCAGAGCACTTTTTGTCAGGAACTTTTGCTGTTAATGGATGACAAAAACTTCTGTATGTCCTAATTTTTCTAAATTGCTTTTTGAAGCATTCTCTTTACTCTTGGGCTTGCTGTCATCATCATGCTTAGACTGAACTGAACATCTGATGCACTTTATCATTTTTTTATACCCAGAGTTGAAGACAACAGTAATTCATTCAAGAGTATGCCTTCACCTCTTATTTTTCCATCCATCCTGCATTGGCTAAGTCATTGACCTTACATGTATTTGACAAAAGCACAACTTTTCTCCTGACTCCATGGAGTTCCAGGTCCAGAAGAAGAAACAAGCCCCCAGCTGCTGCATCTTCTGCCCGTTCTGTGGCTCGGCATGCCAGGCACATCTGCCCAGTCACCTTTATGTCACGCTGGTGGCCCTGAGCTCCAGCATCTGCCCCTGAGCAAGCTGGAATGACATGAGAAGAGCAAAACATGGGATCAGATGTTAAATTTCATGCACAATGCTGACTCAGAGATGCAAGTCCGAAGTCCAGTTCAAAGATATCCTCCCCCTTCCCCCCACCTTCATCTGTGCAGGGGCCTCATGACGAACTCTTTCGGGCCTGGGACAGACCTGGATGAGCTTCCAGACATAATGGCTCCAAAGTCAATAGCTTGGGACAGGTGGGCCAAATTCACAAATGTGCTGAGACATCAGAAGATGAAGCTGGGCTTGCCATGGGATTTACACAAATGCTTAACCAGACATTGGCTAACTGCCAGTCTTCACATATGCCAGTCTTCAAAAAATAGTTGAAAACAGAAAAAAAAAAAAAAAAAAAAAAAGTCTTGCCTGCCCATGTGCTTCCCTTAAGCCTGCTATGTGTTTTTCTGCCTTTTGGAACAATTCAAATACTTTGTTATTCTGGTCCCAGGTTATTACTTAATGAAACAGTACTTTGATATATATCACAAATTAATTTACATTAAGTATATAGAGCCAGTAGGGCTATTTCTGTGTTTCTTGTTTTTAGTAGTGATTACTAACTAATAGCTTTTTCATTCCTATAGCTGTGCCATCTGATGACTGCAAAAAGCCCTCAAAATATTAATTAACTGAGACACACAATGCACCTGTGAACGAGGTTTTTATCATTCATTGGCAGATGGGGAAACAAAGACACAGAAAGGTTGAATGACTTACAGAGGAGCCCAGAGGAGGCATTTAGCGGAGCTGGAAACAGAACAATTAGAACCCAGAGTTGCTAACATTTGGTGCTGCATATTGTAACTCTGCATTACATTTCAGATCTTCTTTTCAAGTTTCAGACCACCACACCTTAGTAACTTGAAAATCTTCCACTAATAATCATCTTCCTAAAAGCCCTTTCATTGTCTTATCTCTTTGGACAGCACTCCATCATGCAGCTGTGAGTGATATTTTTGACTCTCTAGATGCTCATGTTCTGCTGCAAACTTGCAGACATTTCTTTACAAGGTATCTAAGACACAGCTTTCCTATCTTGCCTTCACAGATAAAGTGCTTGTCTAAAGTCTCATCATATATCAACTGCAACCCTTTCCTTTTGGCCTTGACAAATGCAATCTCACACAATCAATATTCCTCCAGAAAACATTGCTGAAGAGATCATTTCTGTTAGCCTTTTGCTTTGTCTTTGTCATCTCTCTACTGGTTTCCCTTCATTTTATTTTACAAACATAAGCTCTTGTCTTTATTTTTTAAGTCTCATGAAACCTGCTCCACATAATCTGCATTGGTCATTCAGAATAAAGAGGTTAAGTCCAACCACTGATGAGCCCCTGTAAAGATGGTGGGATGGCAAGAAGACTGGGAAAGAAAAAATATGGGGCCATTATTTTGAACAGAAGACAGTTTCATTTTGAGATTAGACGAGTGTTAACAAGTACCTGTCAGAATAACTAATATCAGCAAGAAATAAATAAGTTAGTATGAAGATTTCTGGTTAATATCCAACAAATTAAATGTTAGCTGGTGACACTGCCAAATGTAAATACTTGACTTTAAAACTCCTATAGATGTAGAAGATTTCAAGGCCACAAAATCCTCTTGCTTGCTTGCTATCTGTCTATCTAGCTACGTACTGCATAGAAAGTAGATAAAAGTAATGTTATCATCAGGGAAAGAGAGAATAGGAAGAAAGAACTCTGCTCCTCTACATCAAATCACTCACAAATTCAGTGAAAAATATTTCTGTTGAAAAGAAAAGCTTCCACACTGAATCCAGCAGAAATGTAGTATGCAACCAATAGGAGAAAGTGCTCTTTGGTTGGCAATATTCAGATGAATATAGATATTTTAATGCATTGCAAAAGGCCCTCCCAGAGAAAAGTAACAAAAGACTATGCAGGAAGGTCTTTCCAAAGTTGGAAATTCATCGCACAAACCAAATAAGAAAGATAACATTCGTTCCTCCCTTTTTCATGCTAGAGACAATCACCAATTTCAATACACTTGTCAATTTAGGATGTTGTGAATCTGATGGTGGTGTGACAAAAACTGACACTTCAGATGAGATGAGAATGGGAGGATGGGTACAGTGATGAAAATGTATCCACATCAAAGATGACAACCAGAAGCAAAGAAATTTTGACATCCTTGCCCTAGATTCTCATAAAGAAAAAAAGTGCACAAAATTATTGAAGGATTTATTTGGCAAATGAATGAGTTAATTGGTCATTGCTTTACAGAAGACAAAAAGGAATGTCGGTCAAAAAGAAATATTTTTAAAAGTTCAACTTGAAAAAACATATTCCTTCACCAATTTTCCATTGATGATAATATACAGGTAAGATGTTTCTTTTCCACATGTAATGAGAAAGGCTATGAAAAAGATACAGCCTCCTGGCATAATAAATGTAAGGATGAATGATTTGCAAACAAGAATCCATTGCACAATATCTACAAACACAATCATATGTTTAGAATAATTTTTTCTGTCCATCAGCTTTGTTAGTAACTCTAGTAGACAGATATCTACTTGCACTCCTAGACTGTAGTTGAGATCAGGGACAGGACAGTGAGACAGTGCTGTTAAAGGAGCTGTCATGGAGTAGGTTTCCCCTGTGGGACAACCTTCACAAGTACTTACTATTCTAATGTTATTAAATGGTATTTATACCAGAAATTCCAGGCTGTTCATTAGGTACACTTATCAGTCTCATAACACTACAGATAAAAAATTGTGTAGAAAGCAGAACTCTTATGTATTTTGCATCCTGCCCCTCTTCTCTCTGTATTGTTTTTTAAGGTGTCTCAATACATGTATTAACATAAAGTCATTTAATCAACTGTTATAATGGCAGGGAAGATCTATTCTTTCACTTTATTTACAAAAGGGCCAAACAAAATAAGGATGGGATGAACCTAGGAAATAAATCCTATTTGTGTGGGAGGATTTAACCCTTTTTTTTTGAACAAAAGCTTTGTAGGTATGGAAGTAGATTTGACCAGACAAGGAAACAAGCTACTAGAACTGAACTAGATATGGCACCAGTAGCATCTGTGTGGAGCAGAGGTAAAAGAGATAGAAATTAGCCTCATGCATGAACAGGGTCTGAAAGTAACTGGGGACTGTAGAGTAAAAAAATATTTGAGTTGATGGGATGATGGTGAGAGCAGAGCAAATGGTGTGAAAAGGCTGGAAACAGCAAGTGAATGAGAATGTGGTCATCCTGTGGAAGGAGACACCCTTAATAGTGGGTGAGGATGGACTGCAGTGGAGATTCAGGAGAACTTGTGTATTGGGAGTTGGTACTAAGGATGATTTAAAGCTGGAAGAGTTGGAACATCAGATTCACTTTTTGCTGAGGAACTTCAGACTGGTGTGTTTAGAGAAAAAATGGGATGGTTAGAGAAATACAAAAACATGCACAAAATCTTTTCAGAAATAGAGAAGACATAGGTAAAGTTGATATAACAGGGTAAATACAAATGGTAGTCAACACTCTGTAACAGGCACAACGCTTAACTGAAGGCAATATAATGCGAGGGAAGAGCGATGGACAGAGATAAGCCATGGAATAATATCTTAATACCAGCTTTTTACAGTCTCCTGAGAAAGCAGAAACTAATTGAAGAAGTTAAAAAAGAATGAGCTGCAATAATCAAAGTCCTAAAAGCATATGACATCAGGGGATGTTAAAAGTTTTAATGTCCTAACAGTATTTCTTATTTAGTAATTAAAGGGATGAACACTGTTATTAACAGAAGATTTTTATCACAAAAATTGGTCTATTAAAGCCCTTTAGTATTCTTGGTCATATTGGATCAGATCATTGCCAAAGAGCTAAAAAGTTAGGGCATATTTTAATAAGTTCACACTTTTTTTTTTTTTTTTTTTTGGTATTAAAACCCATTCATTATTAATAACTTATGTGGCTTACATATTTGCACTTTTGCTGAACCATTGAGGTAAATATTATGAACATTTAACAGCAATAACGTATCTTTAAAGCCTTAGCATTTGCTGCCAGAAAAAAAAAAAAAAATCATAAAACTATCAGAGATGACAGCTGTTGATCCAAGAGCTTTATGTAGCCTAATACTTATTTTGAGCAGGAACAAACGATTTTGTTTTTAAAGACCCAGCCATTAGCAGAACAAACAAGAGCCAAACGAAATAAAGATCCCGTGGCATTTGCCTGTCTGAGATGTGTCAAAAAGACCTTGTCATCAAAAGCGTCACAAGCTAATGACAGGTGTAATAGAAAACAATGCTAAAAGCAAACTATTGCAGAGACCCTTGGCAGACCTCCCTCATGGGGAAAGTGACTAATGGGATTGAAGTCAAAGAGACATTTTCTGTCCTACTGTGAACAATGTAAGATGACTGCCACAGACTTACTGCTGGATCTGTTCCAACTTGACCCTCACGTAAAATAGAGTATTTTTAATAATGAAACAGCAAGCTTTCCAGATCCTTTGAAGAATAGTATCTCTCTTTTCATGAGGTGACTCTTTCTGAAGAACATATCAAGTAAGCTCAATTGTGAGATAGTACGTTCATTAATAGGTTCTACCTTAACTTCTGTAGAATGAGAATCACTGACCTGTTCGCTGGCAGGGAATTTTCTTTAAGTCAGATGGACAATTATTTTGCTTCATCAGATAAAAAGGATCTACCTTACACTGAAGAAACCAGAATAATGAAACCTTCCTTCCCAGTAGTTTTTAAGGAGCTCTTGTATTATTAAAATTAAATACATGGAGACAGAGCTATATAACCTGTGGGCAGAAACTGAAGAAAACTAAAGTACAATTTATGTTACTTTAGAACTGGAAGTGGAAAGAGTTCTTAGGCAAAATAAACTGAGTTGGACTTCCTACAGAAGATGAAGAAAAGTTCCTCCTCTGAAATGACAAAATATAAATATCTTAATGGATGTGTTTAACCATAAAGCTTTTAGTCTAGGAAATTGCTAAAC